CAGGATCGTCTTCCGGGGGCCGCAGCGGTCTGGCTCCTCCCCCCGACCTCAGCCTCTGCCGGTGAGGAGGGTCCTGGAGCAGCAGTGGAGGAAGAGCGTCCGGCTCCTGGTGAAGAAGAGGAGCCAGGTGGGCAGCAGGTGGCGCAAGAGAGGAGCCGAGGCTACAGGTAACGAAGCTAAGCGCTTCTGTCCTTCCACTTAATTTCAGCAGGTTTTTATTTTATTGAATTGGGCTAACTTGAGTTACATTTGTTAGAACTGAAATGCCTTGATTTGTTGTGAATTTGTTGTATTTGAATTGTATGTATTTAAATTTAATTGAACTACATTTATCTAAATGTGAACTATACAAATGTATTCATTTGACTTAAAGCGCCTTTAAATGTGAACAGGTAAGTCTTTTTCTATGTAACTGAGCTAAATTCAGTCAAAATTATTTGAATCAAATTGCTATGAACTTAATTCAAACTATTTAAATGTTTTTGAATTCATATTTTTGTAATTGCTATTTTTCTCATGTAATTGCTTTAAATTTAATTGGATTTATTGAAATGGCTTTGAAATGTATTTAAATTAAAGTGGACCTATCATGCTATATTTGAAACATATATTGTAGGGCCATACCTATATAAAACATGTCTGTGAAGTTTTTTTTTCAAAATACCAAACAGACCCTGCATTTTAGCCATGCCTCGTTTCGCTCTATTTGCTCTTTTCCAGCCCTGTTTTTGCAGGGGCTGATTCTGTGACGTAGCTTTAATGCAAACGAGCTGCAGCTGACCACGCCCCCCTGCAGGAGAGGGGAGCGTGCTCTGATCAGCTGCTGGGCCCAGAAGAGGGGGAGTAAAAGAGAGGCTCAGCCCTCCGTGTTTTATTCTTATATGATTATATAGTCATTATTCATTTGTTTTAAAGCTCTAAATAACAAAGAAGACCTTTGACCGGCACTTTTCTAATTTTGTCCAGAAGATTTCAACTTTAACGGACATGTTGACTGGCGAAAAAAAATCTAACAAACTCTGCTGCACGGTTCCCTCGTCCCTTGGAAGAGGCGGAGAGGTGGGTGTTTTTCATCTGCTGGTGGACTAACCGGAGAGCAGCAGGAGCAAACGCTTGCCTCGGGGAGGTAGAAAAAGAGCCAAAGCGTCCACAGCGGAGAATAAACAGAAGGGCAACCATGGCAACCATGCGTGGGAAGTCTTCTTCGCTGCTTTTGTGGCAGACTACAGCGCCACTTACAGGCCTGGCATATGTACTACAGCGTCTCCAGCGCTTTCGAGCAGCAATGGCCGGCCGTGGCCCAACCCCACATTCTCCTGATAGGTGGAGAGTTGCCCATATAGGCGGAGCACCCCTTTTCTGACGTCAGAAAAATTCAAATCTGTATCAAATCCGTTGCAGCCCCGTTTTTAGAGATTTGGGTACGGAAGAAAAGAGAGAGGGTTGTGTTTTCTGACACTTGGTGAGTTCCCTGACACACCGGGGACACATATTCATGTATGAAAGACGTACAAAAGTGCATTTTGCATGATAGGTCCCCTTTAATTTAACTACATTTATCTGAATTTGAATTTTTCATATCGACTAATTTCAGTCAATTTGACTTAAATTACATTTAAATTTGAATGGGTAAGTATTTGTCTCATTAAATTGAGTAAAATGTATCTGAATGAAATAGCTTTAAACTAAATGTAAAAGATTAGAATGTATTATTTGCACCGCTTTGACTGAAAGAGTCTTGAATGTGAACGGTCAGTATTGGACTGAAGGAAATGAAAGTGTATCAGATGTAAAGACCTGCTCCATGACTCAGGCAGGGTGTCTGCACAGGGTGGGGCGGAGGGGGGGGGCAGTGTGAACCTCCAGCGTGTTACGACCCCCCAGTGAAGCCCCCCTGTGCAGAGAAGGAAAAGGATGGAGACACACCATATCATGGGGGTCCATACGTCTGTCGACGCCCACCCCAACCAAGAAGAGTCTGCAGAGACAGGGGCCTCAGAGCAGGGGCCTCAGAGCAGGGGCCTCAGAGCAGGGCCGTGTGAACCCTTTCATTATTAAAGGTAAATATCATTTGAACATTTTCAATAAGCTGTACTTGTTTTTAACCAGTGTTTGCATTTGTTGTTGTTTTTCAGAGAGGAGGAGGAGGAGGCACAATGAAGTGTTGCCTCTCAAAAAAGGTATAAATCCCATTATTTAATAGTTTTACCACATTTCATCAAATTCTGTATATCTGTATGGATTTTAAGTTTTTAACTATTACTTACTTATCTGGATTGTCTTTTGTTTTTAGAGAGGGAGAGGGGAGGGGGGGACAACATTAAGCATGACCTCATGCAAAAAGGTAAAAAAACAAATGATCTAATATTGTTGCTAGATTTCAAAGTTCAGTTCATCTGTTCACATGGGTTTGAAGGTTTTAACTTTGATTCCCTTTTGTTTTTGGAGAGGAGGGGAGGAGAGGAGAGGAGAGGAGAGGAGAGGAGGATGGTGGGAGGAGAGGAGAGGAGAGGAGAGGAGAGGAGAGGAGAGGAGAGGAGAGGAGGTGGGAGGAGAGGAGAGGAGGTGGAAGGAGAGGAGGTGGGAGGAGAGGAGGTGGAAGGAGAGGAGAGGAGGTGGGAGGAGAGGAGGTGGGAGGCGGAGGAGTGGAAGGAGAGGAGAGGAGGTGGGAGGAGAGGATGGTGGAAGGAGGAGGAGAGGAAGGTGGGAGGAGAGGAGGAGAGGAGGTGGAAGGAGAGGAGGTGGGAGGAGAGGAGGTGGAAGGAGAGGAGAGGAGGTGGAAGGAGAGGAGGTGGAAGGAGAGGAGGTGGGAGGAGAGGAGGTGGAAGGAGAGGAGAGGAGGTGGGAGGAGAGGAGAGGAGGTGGGAGGGAGAAATGAAGCGTGGCCTCTCAAATGTAAAAGGTAAATATCAATGTATTTAATCAGAAAGGATGTACATAATAATAACTCATCTGTTTAATCTTACTCTCTGAAGATTTGAACATTATGATGTTATTATGACAGAATGAAGGAGAGGAGAAGAAAGGATTAAAGAACAGAGAGGTGAAGAGACGAGGAAAGAGAAAGTGTTTTTCAGAAAAAGTCCAAACTAGAGGAGATGTCTCCGTTTGGTTTCTAAGATTGATGTTTGCAGTTGATTTTGTATTTTGGGAAATCAAAAAGCACATTTGATCATATTGTTTTACTATGAGGTTTAGAGAAGTCTATTTTACACAATGCTCACGATGAAAACCTTTCACTGATTTCCAAATGCTTCAGTTCAATGATTGCATTTGAATGAAGGTTAATGATAACAGTACAACAAAAAAACATATTTTGGAAAAAAGGGTGACAGTATTTTCTTATTATTCTTATAAGTTCTGGGTCCCATGAAGGACCAGCTCGGTGATATCCTTTACTGTACTGAACACAGGCCTGTTTCTATCAAACATGTTCATATTTGTAAACGTATATCATTTAGGTAATGCAGTCTGTTTATCTCCGTCTAAATACAGAGTGTAGTTGATATCATCCTAAACTGTTAGAATAGCATTCCATCTTTTCTCTTTGGTGAAAAACATTTGACTAAAATCCACACTGCTTTGAACAACTTTTTTCACACATCTGAAAATGCCACAAGGCTTTTCCACCAAATCCTCTGACAGCTCACAGAGATCCATTAATAAATCAACTTATGCTATGAAATAAAACAAATAAATACATATGTAAATGTAACTTGTAATCACATTTAACAAAATGTATTATATGACATTGCACTCAAAGGAGTACTACAACTGTAACTGTAGTGCATGTAAACTCAGTAGATATAACACACTGCTGCCACAGGGGGGCGATATTACAATGAAACACTTCCTAAAAACTAAACCATGCCTTGTAGCGTAATTACTCAAAGGGCTGCAACTAAATACGGGAAATAGGGAATAGGGATTAATTTTACGATTATTTCGCTATTAAGATGTTGGTCTATGAATTGTCAGAAAGTACACGATTAAAGAATCAATGCATGTAAGGCTACTTGATTTTTTTATAATGTTTATGAAATGTCCAAGGCATGTATTTAAATATCTTGTTTTGCAGTTCCAAACCAAAATACTTTCACTAAATAGAAATATCGTCACAAGAATACATACATTAAAGAAATGTGATACTATATATTGTGAGTATTTATAGTTATGATTGTATAATAGGTGCTGTGTAAGCAGAGTGGCGCAGCGGAAGCGTGCTGGGCCCATAACCCAGAGGTCGATGGATCGAAACCATCCTCTGCTAGCTTTTTCGTAGATTGTGAACAATGTATACTGCATACCGCTACCCAGTGTAGATTCTAACCATTTTTCGTCCCAACAACAAAAGAGGATTGCTGGCTAATCTAAAAAAACCTCTATTCCAGAAAATCTATCACACATCTGAAATAGTGTATCAGTTGAAAAGTCCCAGTTACAAACTTAATTTCTGAGTTCGGCGTCACAAGGTCTACGGGAATACATTCGACGTTCGTTTGAAGGTAGCCTTTCTGTGTATGTAAGTGGTAATGTAAAGAAAACAATAAAACGAAATAAAAAGCACAGGAAGGAACTGAACGTCTATACATGCACTGCCACAAGATGGCACCATTGGACCACAATAAAGTCAACTACCAGCTCTGAATTATCAGAGGGATAATGATTATCTGAAGGAAATAGCAAACAAACGAGGTATAGCTATATAACCACATGTAGGATAGCATGACTTCAACCTGTGGATCCAATCAGTACCAAATTATGGACAATATCCTGGCCAACCTTACAGACTTAACAAGAGTAAAAAAAACAGCTATCAATATAATGTGTGCTATATGTCTGTGCCTTTAAATTGTATGTTTTTCCCAAGATGTTTGGTTGAAATAATATAAAAACATTAAGAAATGTAAATGTAAAACAGAGACACAAAGTCTAATCATTTATTTCAAAGTGTTGTTTGTGTTCTAGTCTTACTCTGCCCAGGAACTACACAAATCGGGGACATTAATTCTTCATTCATTTAATACGAAAAATGTAGCAACCTTATTGTATTACAAGACATATCATTATTTACAATAGCGAGGTAGAAATATAACAGTTAGTCAAAATCCACTCGTCTGCTCTTCTTGGTAGCTGATTGGATCTTCTTCTCTTTGAGTCGCTCCTTGTCCCGTCTCGCTAACCTGCACAACATATTTTACATTGAATACATACACTACACACTGATAAGCAAAGTGGATCAACATTGATTTCCCCTACTGCTGGGTAATACCTGGCTGCCCTGAGAGCTACGTCCTCTGCTGTTGGTTCATGTGGCTTCTCGCTGGCCTCAGCTATGATGGCAGAAATCTTCTGTATGCAATCAGAGAGGTTTCTGTTCTGACTCCTGCTCAGCTCTGAGTTCACCAGCAGCTCCCCAGCCTTATTGATGCGGTTTTTGTTCTGTACCACGACGCAGAAAATGTGTTCAGTTGGTTTAGGGTGAAATCAGAGTTTCAGAGGTCATTCAAATATTATTGTTCTGTTTTTGGTTGATAATGTAATGATCCCTTGGGATAAAATACTTCCACTTAGGTATAAATGTAATATGCAGAACATGTGGTTTATTTGTGAACTACAGTAATAGAACAGATTGCAAAACTGTCAAATTGCGATCAACAACTCCACAGCCTTTTAAAACAAACCGTTTCAAAGATTTTCCGTCGAACATCCTCTGGGATCCAGTCTGCTGTTAGCACATGGAATCGGACCTCAGCCTTTGTGCTGACTGTGGATTGAGATTTGAACACACAAAGGAATATACTGTGAATGATAGGAAAGATTCAAGGCCTTGTACTAAGTGGCTGGAGTCACTTGTCATATATATTTTAATAATTAAGTAGAACTTTGAGTACCTTTATTTACATTCTGACCACCAGGCCCACTGCTTCTGCTGTAGGATACTTTCAGGCGGTCTGAGAAGAAATATATTGTTGAAAAATACAAAAAGAAAAAAACACTTTCTTATTCTGCTGAGTGAAAATATATTAGTATATTTACCCACTGGAATATGCACTTGGGAATCCTGCCAAAGTAAACATAAAATAAATGTATTGCTTTGGTGTACATTCAGGACACAATTACAGTGAACTATTAAAGACTTCATAAGGCTATCATGCAGTAGCCTACATGAACAGATTCATGAATTGGGAGGTCATTCCTCATACTTACAGTGTTATTAAACTAACCTCTGTGGTGTCTGCTCCTCGAGTCCCGTAAGCAACACGCAAATGTAAAGTGTTGTTGATGTCTCTTAATACGACATCCCTCAGTTTTATATGTTGTGGAATCCTGTTAACTGCTGTACTACGACAGAGAAAATAACAACAACGTCGTACTATGTGCGCCGCCATGTTGGACTGACTTCATAACAGCAAGTGAACTGGTATTCGTCAATGTAGCCATGCATGTACTTGGATGAGCTAGCTGCTGCTAAAGTGCAGTTTTATATGTAGGTACTGCATGCTGCCGAGTAGAAAACTATATGTATAGATTTATAAAACTAGAAACACACAGTAGTTTCCATCACCTTTGAGGAGTATGTTCATAACAGTAAATAATCATAAAGTTAGGTTCTACCGAGATTTGAACTCGGATCGCTGGATTCAGAGTCCAGAGTGCTAACCATTACACCATAGAACCACATGAGACCGATTTTCACAGCTGTAACTAAAAATACTGGTATTTATTAATTACTAATTACTAATTGTACAAAAACATATACGTAAGTAGACTATTTTTGAGCGATACCTTGAGGACAGTTGTTTGAGGCAAACTAGTCAGTGTATGTTAATCACAGTATTTAGAATAAAAAGCTTAAGTGCAAAGCTAATGTGAAAAGACTGTTACTGGTACCGTCATTATTAGAACTATCACGATATTTTCGGTGTTCTGCTATTCAGTTATTAGTTATTAGGAAAACATTTTTTACTTGGAATATTTTCATTCATTGATATGATGAATTGGAAATGGGGGACCCTGATGTAAACAAGACGAAAGTCTTTCTCTGGTCTGCATCCCCTTGACAATTGTATGTTTTGAGCTGTACTGTACTGTACCCAATATACAAGCTGTTAATACACTTTTCAATCATTCAATCAATCAATCAACACCTATAGCTGACAAATGTCAAACGTTTACAGTTCTGGTTCTGACTGCTTTAGGGAGATATATGAAATATGCCGAGCTGTCGAAATCAATTTAGTAACTTGGAAAAAAAACAAAAAAGTGTTCTACCACATCGGTCAAAAAGTGTCTCTCCTGCTTTAAATATTGAGAGGAAAAAATCCCGGAACTATTGTGCGGCGAACTCTGTTGCAATAGGGTAACACCAGCGGACGGACATGGCTTGTATTCCTTTTTCAAAACAAACCATCTTTCTATATTTAGATGCGTTTTACTTACCGTTATGTGGTTAGTTGCGAACGTTAGTTATAAGGCATTATCTTGATATATAACTTGCTAAATAATGGTAGTGGTTGCCATTCGGGATTAACGCTAGCTATCATTTTCTAGTAATAGCTTTAGATAGAGTATTTTTAGCTAATGCACGATAGCTAACGTCACGCAACGATAACGATCCTACTAGCTGTCGGTAACCGCATTAGTAGCATTATCTAATGTCATTCGGCTATATGTTGTAAGGTTGCCAAACACAGCACAGTATCCGACGTCAACATTTTACAGTGGACGACGTTAATTTAGGATACAATTGTTAACGTTAGCGGACATCTGCTCAAATACTCATCTTAACGTTAGCTTGTAGCGAGCGTTTGACGGATATCTCTCCCTTTGGCTGGTTAAGCAACATGGGAAAGTGACGTTATGATGTGACAACAAAGGGCAACGCTTGATGATCAGCGTGTGTCATGCATGACTTGGATTGCTCAAGAGATTCATACCCACATAAAGAGTGGTGAGAAGGTCAGTTAACATCACAGGGATATTTAGCCTTGTATAGCTGCAAAATGCCTGGAATGGTGGTGTTTGGTCGGCGGTGGGGGATCGCCAGCGATGACCTGGTTTTCCCCGGATCCTTTGAGCTGTTCGTCCGTGTACTTTGGTAAGTTGTCTCCTCCTGACGTCTAAGTAGTCAGACATAATAATAACATGCATTGACCCTGAATATCTGTCATTCTCTGCTGCTATTCTCTCCTTAGGTGGATTGGCACCATGATCCTGTTCACCTATCACAAGGGTAACTTTGATTGTAACGGTGGAGGAGTTCTCCACACCTTTCTGGTTGGACTCATGGTTGTGCTGGCGCTCATCATCCTGTCACTTTGTGCTACTGTTTATGTCAGTGCCCAAGGTAAATCAATTTGTGTTTATTTTCCTCCTTAAAATTAAACGAGCGTTACCTATATAGATCAGAAACTAGATCCACATTATTGTAGTGGCAGACATCACAGGAACTCAATGCTTTCACATCGTTTTGCATTCAGTAGGATGTTATTTTTTTCCGGCACACAGTTTCTGGGCTACACAACGAAAAGTATAGGAATCAGATGGGAAAGAATGTAAAAGTGTCATTCCTTTTAGTCCACACATAAGTGCCATCATTGATATTAAACTGATATAGACTTGCAAAAGGCGTAACTGTCAGAAAGTACAACTGTTGAAATAGCGGAAGGAGCCACCTCTGCCTCCTGTTGAAACCTTAATGGGACAGATGATTGGTTTACTGTCACCCTTTGCAACATCACAATCTCTCTGTGTTGCAGATCAGTACAAGTGACATGTTCAAAGTCCAGATACATCTCCTTTTGTTGACAACACAGATATCTATGATTGTTCCCCAGGTACCATTACAAACCCTGGCCCACGGCGCTCCATCCCTGCTCTGATTTACCTGCGAGCGATCCTGTACATCCCTGAGCTGGTGTGGGCCTGTCTGGGAGCCATGTGGGTGTCTGAAGACAGCAAAGGCTGCGATCCAGCCACAGTGGGGGCTGTCATCTCAGCAGTGATAGCCAGGTAGGTGGTTTAGGGTTACGATTTCAAAGAGTCATTGTTTTATAGTTCGCAGAGGGGTTTTGATTCAGCCTCTTTCAGGGTTCTTTAAACTTGATAAAGCGGTGATTTGTCCTCATATTAAAAACCAACGAAACAAACTTTGAAAACAATATAAAAGTACAATACAAATGGCATTCGTGCCCCACAGTAAAAAACATTTGCCTGTTCGGTGCCCAAATCCCCACTCCACCTGTCTGCAATAAATACCGCTATCACCCCACCCAAATCAGCTGAAGATATCTTCAAAACAAAAGCATCAAACTACATATGTAACATATATAATGACACTAAATAATGATGCAATTGCTCTATACAAAACAGCAAGAACATAAATGGTAATAATACAAAACAATTATTATCTCAAACAGTATTTTATTTGAACCTTTATGATTTAGAATATGCTTAACTCAGAATATACTCCTTGAACATGTTCAACATAATCTGGTGTTTCATCTTTTAATATTTCAAATAAAACCTGTTTTTTCCTTGCACCTCACACCAGACATGGAGCGGGTTGGAGCTAGCTAGACTTTAAATAATCGGGGGGGGAGTGTGTGGTAGAGAAACCCCCAATGGGAACTTTGGTATTTGATCCTTTGCACACCATTTTTGAATAGTAGGAAAAAGTTACAACATACATTGACGGCTGTGTGTACATTTATTATGTTACCTTAATTTTTCTCCGCCACATTTAAAGTTGCAAAATAGATGTGATGATAAGGGATTTGGTTAAGGTATCTTGAAAGTGCTTGAAATGTTCTTACCTATACTTTAATAAGCTGTATGAACTTTATTTCCTGTGTCACAGCTGGATCATCCTGCTGTTCACCGGGTTGGGCGTTGTGTTTGTGTTTGACCCGCTGGGAAACCCCCGTCCTCAGCACTCTGCCATGGAGCCTCTGGGAGTCAGAGACCAGCAGAGCACCGAGGGCACGCAGTTCCTGTCCACCGCTCGCTCCCTGGCCGTCAAGGTGTGGGAGAGCCGGCTGAGGCTGCTCTGCTGCTGCCTGCCACAGGACGAGAGCCACCGGGCGGCCTTCTCCAGCATCGCACAGCTCGTCGGGGGGTTCTTCTCCGTAAGACACAGCTTCTCCCTCTTGTCTGTCCTTGTCCTTGTTCTTGTCTTCAAATCTGGGTTCACATGTACAAACATATTGAGTGTACTCTAAGAGAGATCCTAACTTAGTCCAACAGGAGTGGCTTAGGAGTGATTGAGGAAATTCTCACAGCAACTCTGAGGGAAGAAAGGACAAACTCTTGTATCTTAGTGAGGAGGTGTGGCTGACCCCTTTGCTAGGTATGAACACATTATTTTATAAAACGGATTGATTCATAAAAAAAAGCCCTATTAGTGATTGGAATAGAATGAAAACTGAAATTGATAGGCGTATTTATAGAATTTGGTTTCTTTTTTAGAAATTATTTTGAATACGTCATGGCCATACTGAAAAAGTATAAAATCTGTTTTTCTTTAGGAACACAGTAACTTATTAAAATGCTGACATTTATATCTTTCCTGTGTTTGTGACCAATCTATAGCTAGCTGCATTGGTCGGCATGCACATCTCCCATAAACCAGCAAACAAGTCCTTTCTCTTCAGCCTCTTCAAAGCCCTCCTCCCTAGTCCTAATAGTTCTTAACCTTAGGATCTCTCTTAAGATGCTTTGTGAATACCTTAACCAGGATGTTGTCTTAACTCAAAGGGAAAATCCTTAGAAAACCTGGTATTATTAAATGTCATTTGTTATACGCTTTTATCCAAAGCAACTTACATACATTCCGTACTGTGGGCAATCCCCACAGGAGCAATTTGGGGTGAAGTGTCTCAGGGACACAGCGACATGCTGACTGCAGTGGGACTCGAACTTGCTATCCCCTGATTTGAAGTCCAGCACACTACGCACTGAGCCACAGCCTCCCTCCCTAATACTAATCATTTTCTTAACATATAATAATTTGGAGCAACTCTTTTTACTAGGAGCTTTATGAATGTGGCCCCTGTAAGTTAGAGGGTTTGAGGCAAACTGCATCAAGTCTGATGACATATTAGAACACCTCAAGAAAGACTACAGCTGGCTATGATACACTTGTGTGTGTGTGTGTGTGTGTGTGTGTGTGTGTGTGTGTGTGTGTGTGTGTGTGTGTGTGTGTGTGTGTGTGTGTGTGTGTGTGTGTGTGTGTGTGTGTGGTGTGTGTGTGTGTGTGTGTGTGTGTGTGTGTGTGTGTGTGTGTGTGTGTGTGTGTGTGTGTGTGTGTGTGTGTGTGTGTGTGTGTGTGTGTGTGTGTGTGTGTGTGTGTGTGTGTGTGTGTGTGTGTGTGTGTGTGTGTGTGTGTGTGTGTGTGTGTGTGTGTGTGTGTGTGTGTGTGTGTGTGTGTGTGTGTGTGTGTGTGTGTGTGTGTGTGTGTGTGTGTGTGGTAGGACACAGACCTGGTCCCCAGTGACATCGCAGCTGGTCTGGCTCTGCTGCACCAGGAGCAGGATAAGATGGAGCAGAGCAGAGACCCAGACATCATGGTGGATCACAGCCCCTCGTCTCCCATCGTAAGTCTGACCCTCGTGTAGTCACAGCAGCACAAGGAGCAGG